CGACGTCGAGGGCGGCGGGATGGGGGGACGGGGAGGAGAGGGGCGACTTCAGAACAGAGATCGCGCAACGGCGCCTGCGCGCGCGCCCCATCTCGCAGACCGACGCGCGCGCCCCTGCCGAAATGCAAACGCATCCCTCACTCGAACCCCGCTGCTGCGGAGCCGCCAAATCCAAAACCAAATCGTCCGGGGAGTTGCGCGGCCCCCAAGCTGCTGGTTTACCACCGGCTGCTGCGGGGCCCTCGAAAACGCGGAACCATTACGTCGGCACTGTCGCGAATCGCAGGGTCAAGCGCGCGTCCGTGAACGCCGAGGGCCCAGCGCTGGACGCCGAGGCCCCGCTGCTGCGGGGCTCGGGCGCTGAAGCCCCGGTGCTGGGCGCCGCGGCCCTGCTGCTGCAGGGCCCCTGAGAAGGCGTCGGCCCCCCCTTCTCTCTGGCGGCGTCGAACTTGACCCTGCGCTCCACACCGACGTCCTTGTGCCAGCGATATGTTCCTCGCCCGTTGCTCCCGCCCAAGCCCGCGGCTGGTGGCCTCGCCGCGTCCGCGCGGGGCACGAGGGGCAGAGCTTCGGCCGTCCTGTCGCTCCAGTGCGGGCGTATGCGGACGCCTGTCCCGTCGTCGCGGTGCAACGCGAAATCCCACATCGGCAGCTTCACTTTCACCCGCTGCCCCGCGAGCTGTCGCACGCGCGCAGCACTGTGGCGCATGTGGCCAGGCTTCGAGGGAACGGCCGATCAGAGCCCCGCTGCTGCGGGCCCCCCCCCCACGACCTCCCTGATATCTTCCTCCCTGAGCGTCGCCGCCATCTCTTTGCCACCGCCAAGGGACTTCCTCGTCGCTTCTGAAACCAAAGCTCGTTCTCGCACCGTGGTCGCAAACGGCGACCATCGTGGGCTCCGCATTGTCAAACCACTTGGCCTCTGACTCGAACGGCGCAGTCGGGTCTTCTCGCAGGCGGCGCCACCGTTTCAACGCTTGGTTGCGTTGCTTAAACGAAGTGCCGAGCCTCTCTTCATACCTCAAAAAAGAATCGATCAAACTTGTCGCAATCCTGGGGCCCGCGCGCCGCCGCAGCTGCGGCGGCGCGGGGCTCCTGCGCCGCAGGCGCGGCTCGGGATCCCGACCCCCCCTCTGGAACTGCGCCCCCTGGTTCTGGTGAGTTTCGGAAGGCAGCCCTCGCGAAATTATCGAATTCGGGCATGCCGAAACCAGGGGCGCGGGGGCTCACGACGCTAAGCGCGGCGAAGCGAGGCGGCCGTTGAGGCGGCGGCAGCGGCAGGGCCATCGCGCCATTTGGCGTCCTCCGTTGGCGTGTCCCCGTCTTGTCGCCACTCTCGCCAGCCCCGCGCTGACCGATCATGGCCGCCCTCCCAGCCGCGCCAGCCGCTGCTGCGGCTGGCCCAACATCCTTCCGCACCACCCCATGTGTATCCGCCTGCATCGCCAATTGCAAGACGATCGCGCAGGCGCGCGTTAGGCCGCGAGCGGCCCGACTGCACCGTCGCTCGCGGGCGATCCCGCGGGCGCGGTATGGTTTGAGCAGAGCGGCGATGGACGACGCGATGTGATTGGACGGCAATCAAGCTGGACGACGCGATGTGATTGGCGAAGGAAGAACGAACTGGACGAAGAGCGGGAAGTCAAACCAGAGGGGGGAGAAAAGGACGGAAGAGAATGAGGACATGCAGACGAAGGAAAGTGACGAGGTAGATGGCGGGACAGAACGGCAACGGAGGAAAAGGTGGTGGATATTGCGAAAAAGGACGCATGAAACAAAAAACACGACGAGGATCACAGACGCAAAGATGATGAGCGCAGTGGTAGCATGACATATCCGAAATCAAGAAGCAGGATGAAGAGGAGCGGGATGACGAGCACCTCTGCCACAGAGGGCCTCCAAACGCACCCCCTCTGTCACAGAGGGCCTCCAAACATTCCCTCTGTCACAGAGGGGCATAATGATCACTTTAATGCGGCTTTTGGATTACTGGCCCCATGGGCATCCGAAGCCAGCTGCATGCAGCAGATTCGTCACCCCCTGTCTTTTGTAGGGTAACAAAAAATCACATAAACATAAAAACTCGGAGGTGAGCGCGGACCTCCGAGTTTTTATGTTTATGGCACTTGTTGTTCCCCTATGTATACCCCCCTTTCGTCCGACCCGACCCCTGCCTCCCCCCTGAAGAGCCGAGGAGGCCTGCAGGCAAACAAACGTGCTCGCGGCGCGAGCTCCTGGACAGGCAGACGGATGGACTCGATGCCCTGCCGGTCCGCCTTCTGCCTGGTCGCGCCGTGCAGACGCCGCTTGGAGTCGCTGAGGGCGCCGAGCACGTATCCGCGACCGCGCCGTGCGCACGCAGTGAGCGGAGTGACCCAGGACTGGTGCTCCTCCTCCTCCTCCTCCTCCTCCTCCTCCTCCTCCTCCTCCTCCTCCTCCGTTCGCATTCTTGCTTGCCCTCCTGTTGCTGCTCCTCCTCTTCCTCCTCCTCCTGACAAGCCTGAGAAGCTCCTCGTGCTGTCGCGCCCCGTGGGCACGTGCCGGACCGGGCGCCCTGGGACTTCGCCCTCTCCCCCACCCAAGACGACCCCTGTGGGGATGGACAGACCCCCCTTTAGTAAAACGTGGTTTAGTGAAAACGACCTGAGGCCCAAACATGGCGGGCGCAAGCCTGGAAAATAGCGGCCGCGGCGCCCTCTCGAGAACCGAAAACGGACAATTCACTAAGCGACGTGTCACTGTTGGGGGTTCTGTCCACCCCCGACCCCTCCTGAGACCCCTTTGGAGACACCCACGAGACTCCCCCTGAGGCGCCCCCCCATCGGGGAGACCCTTTCAGAGGACCCCCCTGGAGGCTCCCGGGGCGTCGGCGGCAGAGCGCGCCGCAGGCCGCCAGATACGGCGCCCGGATCTTCAAAGTCCTCCGGGAGTGGGCCTCTGCTGAGCACCTACTACGAGCTCGAGCCCTCCTCCTCCTCCTCCTCCTCCTCCTCCTCCTCCTCCTCCTCCTGCTCCTCCTGTTCCTCCTGCTCCTCCTGCTCCTCCTGCTCCTCCTGCTCCTCCTGCTCCTCCTGCTCCTCCTGCTCCTCCTGCTCCTCCTGCCTCCTCCTCCTGCTCCTCCTGCTCCTCCTCCTCCGATCCTCCTCTATCCTCCTCCTTCTCCTCCTCCGCCTCCTCCGCCTCTCCGCCTCTCCTCCTCCTCCTCCTCCTCCTCCTCCTCCGCTCCTCCGCCTCCTCCGCCTCCCTCCGCCTACCTCTCCTCCTCCTCCTCCTCCGCCTCCGCCTCCCCGCCTCCGCCTCCGTCCGTCCCGCCTCCGCCGTCCGCCTCCGCCTCCGCCTCCGCCTCCGGCCTCCGCCTCCGCCTCCCGCCTCCGCCTCGCCTCCGCCTCCCTCCGCCTCCGCCTCCGCCTCCCGCCTCCGCCTCCGCCTCCGCCTTCCGCTCCGCCTCGCCTCCGCCCCTCCGCCTCCGCCTCCGCACTGCCCGCCTCCGCCTCCGCTCCGCCTCCGCCTCCGCCTCCCGCCTCCGCCTCCTCCTCCTCCTCCTCCTCCTCCTCCTCCGCCTCCGCCTCCGCTCTGCCTCCGCCGCCTCCTCCTCCTCTCCTCCTCCTCCTCCTCCTCCTTCCCCTCTGCTCCTCCTCCTCCTCCTCCTCCTCCTCCTCCTCCTCCTACTCCGCCTCCTCCCCTCCTCCACTCATCCTCCTTCTCCTCCCCTTCCTCCTCCTCATCCTCCTCCTCCTCCTCCTCCTCCTCCCTCCCACTCCTCCTCCCCCTCCTCCTCCTCCTCCCCCTCCTCCTCCTCCTCATCCTGCTCCTCCTCCTCCTCCTCCGCCTCCTTCTCCTCCTCCTCCTCCTCCCCCTCCTCTCCTCCTCCTCCTCCTCCTCCATCCTCCCTGCTCCTCTTCTGCTCCTCCTCCTGATCCTCCTCCTCCTCCTCCCCTCCTTATCTCCTCCCCCCCCTCCCTGCTCCCTAGCGCCTGCCTCGCTCGCCGCCCCGTCGTCTTGTGGCCGTCCAGCAGGGGCCTGCTCGGGGGAGCGCAAACGTGGATTAGCGATCCATGGATTTGGCGCGCGGTCGCCAACTCCATTGATCGGGAGAGGTGCCCTGCCCAAAATGCGGCCAATGCCGCCTCGCTCGGCAGCGGAAATCCGCGATGTCCCACGGAAACGGGACCCGCCGCTAATCCACGCCGCCCCCTTATCCATGTTTGCGATCCGCCTGATCCCCCTATCCCTCCTCCTATCCTCCTCCTCCTCCCTCTCTCCTCTCCTCCTCCTCCTCCTCCTCCTCCTCCTCCTCCTCCTCCTCCTCCTCCTCCTCCTCCCCGGCTGCAGGAGGCACGGGCGGCCCGATCCATGTGTTGCGATCGCCTGACCTGCGACAGCCCCCCCCCCCCCCCCCCGGCCGCGGCTCCCCCGCGGCGACGGCGGGCCAGCGCCCGGGGGCCGAGGCGCTCGCCCTCCCGCGCCTGGGGCCAGCAGCCGTGGCCCTTCCAGCCTGGACCCTCGAGAGAGAGGGGGGGGCGAGCTGTACAGGAGAGGAGGCTCGCCATCGCTCGGACGTCCATTCCCTGTGTTTTTTGTTCGGTTTCGTGCGTGTTTTTTTCGCCGAATAGTCGAGGATGCTCCTCGATGGCCCTCGCCGAGAAAGAAAATGCACACGTCCGAGCGATGCCAAGGTACAGGAGAGGAATGGGGAACGCCCAACGCCCGCCGGAGCCCGCGAAGAAGGAGCGACAGGGGGCGCACAGAGAGGCTCCGAGCGGAGGCATCCCGTGGAGAAATCTCACCTCCCGGGCCGGCCGACGGCCCGATATCGCGAAGAGAGGGAGGCGAGCATCCCGACAGCTCACTTGGCGTAGGCGGTCTTGAGGAAATCGCCTCTAAGCAAACGGCCCCTCATCCTCTTGCCGTCTTGCCGCAACACTTCACCACAATCAACTAATCAACAAACATCGAACGGGGAAGCCGGATCGTATCGGAACGTGCGTCGGAAAGAAAACCTGGGGCTGAGAGAAGGGCGTGCGCCGCCATCAGAAAAAGCACAACAGGGATTCTTAGGGAAACAACTATTGACGCAAACACGAAAACTTGGAGTTCCGAGCGGAGTTCTCCGATCGGCGCTGGACCCCCCCTCCCTGTCGCGGATCGCGAAGGGGCGGCGCCGGAGGCGCTGCCAGGGGGCCCCAACGCCGATCCGAGGAATCCACGCGGACCTCCGTCATGTTCTGTTTGTGCCATTGCTTGTTCACCCACTCCTGACCTGACCCCTGTCGAAGAAGAAGAACAACTGCACAAACATAAACTGTTGGCGCTACGCGCGGATGTCTTGGATCTGCGCTGGCCCCCCCGTCCCTACCGCACGGAGCGCGCCAGGGGCGGAGGCGCCGCCGGAGGGCCCCCCAGCGCCGATCCGAGGAATCCGCGCAGAGCTCCGACACTTTGTGCTCATGCCGTTGTTTCTGCTTCGCCCCTGGCTGGAGTCCTCGGCCACCCCGTCGCCGTCGGGCGAGAGGTACACCAGCCTGGCGCCAGGGAAGAGGCCGACGTAGGGCTGCGCCGAGACCCGCGCGAACCTCGGGCTGGGCGGCCGCGCGAGAATCGTCCCTCGTCCGCAGCCCCCTCCACTACGAACAGCACATGTGCGCTTAGCAACAGGCGCTGCTGCAACGGGGGTGGGTGGGGCGGCGGGCGTGATGTGATCGACTGGGTGGGTGGGTGGCTTGGAGGCCACATAACGCGCGTTGTGTTCATGGGGAAATAATCAGTTCCAGACTGTAGACCGTAGAGACTTCCTGTGGACTTGACAGCGAAACCATAACAGCAGCAGGTCACAGCTTAGTCTGGTCCGCAGCAAGCCACAGACTGGAGAGACTTCTGTGGGTGCTCCTCACGATGAGCAAAGAGCAAAGTGTAGTTGGATACAATCCTCAGCACGACATGGGGCCAACAATAGAAAGCTTCACCAGAAACATAATAACAAACCAGCGCTGGCCAGGACATCATCCGAAGTGAAGAGTTGCCACAGCATGTTGCATGATGGGCGAACGTGCTGTCGTCAACAACCATGCAAGCCGCCGCTACGGATGATAGAAAAGGATGTATCAGACAAGCCTGTCTGCATCACCACTGCCCGTGCACACGAGACATCAAACATGCACTGGCGGTATATCCAATCAGATACCAGCGAGGCCAGCCGACAACACGCACCGAAGGACGACCATTAGAGGAACAAGAAACCGCGCCGGAGGCGCGGCCAGGGGGGCCGCAGGGCGGATCCAATAAATCCGCGCGGAGCGCCACACAATTCATGTTTGTGCTGTTGTTTCTTCTTCGAACCATCGGGATCCCCCCTGCCCACGTCGCCTCCCCTGGATGGGAAGAGCACGGGGACCACGAGCAAGACTGATCGCGGCAACGCCGGCACCCATCCTGGCCGCCGCCTCTCTTGGTCATCGTCGATTCGTGGATCACTCTCGCGAGTCGGCGACGCATGGCATAAACCATGACCAAGATGTAACAAGGGCTCCCAACTTCGCGCTTCGCGCAGCGCGAAGTGCGAATAACTTCGCGCTCTCGCGCCGCCTCCCAGGGGAGAAGAGGAGGATGAGGAATCGGAGCCGAACCGCGAAGCGCGAATAACTTCGCGCCCTCTAGGGCGCCCTTGAAGAAACACAGCTTCAACATAAACCTTCGGAGGTCGGCGCGGATTTTCTGGATCAGCACTGGGGCCCCACCTCCATGGCGCACGGAGTGCGCTGGGGGCCGGCGCCGGAGGTGCCGCCAGGGGGACTCGGCGCCGATGTAAGAAATCCGCGCGGACCTCCGAGGGTTTTAGAAGGGACATCGGCGTCGAGAGCACCCCGCGACGTCTTGGTCATGGTCATCGTGCCTCTCCCCGCGGCTGCTGGCCGCCCTCGAGCAGGCTGAGGCGGGCACGGGCCCCACCGCCCGTAGTTCGCGAGCCGCTGCAGGGTCTCGTCCATCCGGGAGCCGCGCTCGATGCCAGAAAACACCAGCTCGAAGGGCCTGCTCGCCCTCCGGTTGCTCCCGTAGCACCTTGCCGCGGCAGCGCGGTGCCGCGGGCACCGCGGCCAGCGGGGAGCAACTGACGGTGGCGGCAGCAAGAGAAAGAACTCCGCAAGACTCTCTTCTTCATCAAGTGCCCCATAGATCTCCAAGCCCACATCGTCTGGCGGTGCGCGATCGGGGCACAGGCGGAGAGGCCAGAGTAGCTAGACCAGAAATGCGTGCCCCAGGCCAGAGCTTCACAGAAGGAAATTGGCAAGAGGATTCACAACCGCCCTCTGCGAGCTGATCTCTGCTCTAGCCCTGCACCTCGGAGTCCAGGAGTGGCCCTGACCCTCGAACAGCGTCTGGGTGAGACTAACGTTCGCCCCTCACATTCTCTGGTATCGGAGAGTCTGCTCGAGATCGGATGTGCCACACATCGGGAACGCGCAAACGTGGATTAGCGATCCATGGGCTTGGCGCGCGGTCGCCAACTCCATGGATCGGGGGAAGTGCCCTGCCCAAAATGCGGCCAATGCCGCCTCGCTCAGCGGCAGCAATCCGCGATGTCCCACGGAAACGGGACCCGTCGCTAATCCACGCCCTCTTCATCCATGTTTGCGATCGCCTGATCCCCCTCCCCCCCCTCCCCTCCCCTTCCCTCCCCCTCCCCCTCCCCCTTCCCCCTCCCCCTGCCCCTCCTCCTCCTCCTGCCCCTCCACCTCCCTTCCCCTCCCCCCCCTCCCCTCTCCTCCTCCTCCTCCTCCTCCTCCTCTCCTCCTCCTCCTCCTCCTCCTCCCCTCCCCTCCTGCCCCTCCTCCTCCTCCTCCTCCTCCTCCTCCTCCCCTCCCCTCCGCCTCCGCCTCCGCCTCCTCCTCCTCTCTCCTCCTCCTCTCCCTCCTCCTCCTCTCCTCCTCCTCTTCTCCTCTCCTCCCTTCCTCCTCCTCCTCCTCCTCCTCCTCGCCTCCTCCTCCTCCTCCTCTTCCACGGTCTCCGTCTCCGCCCACTTCGTCGCCGACGTCGTGCCCCTCTTCAGGGTCGGCGGCACCGGCCGTCAGGCCTTCGCAATCGGTCGGCGACACGCCGCCGACGGCTCGGCGATTGGGCTCTCGATGGCAGCATCGCGCGATCCTGGGCGTGGCAGGTTTTCGGGCCTCTGTCGGCGATGAGTGGGCCGATATGCACTCCCCCCTCCCCGAGCCCACAGTCGGGGCGTTGACCCGAGGACCCCGACATCAGGAACGGGGTACTTCGATCCCCCATCGGAAACTACAGGAACGCCGAAGGCAAACTGTGAGACAATTAAGGAACACGGAGCCGCTCCCCAACGCACCCGACTGTGCCACTCTGTCGTAGCACCGGATCCACCCCTTCCCCCTCCGACGTGGCAGCACCGAATGATACGGACACCGCTGCTCCCCAGACACCTCCTAGGGTGCGCTCTGACCAAAACTTCGAGCACAATCCAGCCGCGTTGACGAGGGCTCTCGAGGACGAGCAGCGGTACGCAGCGGTCCAAGACCTCTCCTGAGGTACGTTCTGACCAGAACTTGGAGCGGAATCCAGCCGTGGCGACGAGGGCTCTCCAGGACGAGCAGCGGTAGCGGTATCTCCCCCCTCTGACCACGCCATCCGCGTCCAGGCCCGCACCGCCTGCCCCGACCGACCTCATCAGGGTCTTCGCAAGGCTGTGCTAGGGGAACGAAGAATGGCATAAACAGCAAGAACTCGGGGGTCCACGCGGATTTCTCGGCTCGGCGCGGAGCGCGCCGGGGGCGGCGCCGGAGGCGCCGCCACTGGGGGCCCAGCGCGGATGCGAGGAATCCGCGCGGCCCTCCGAGTTTCTATGCTTCTGTCATCCTTCGCTCCCAGCCCTGTGCCTGCCCCCGGCCGACCTCATCAGAGTCCTCGCGAGGCCGTGCAGCTCCCGGTCCGCCATGGCGGGCTCCCACTCGCAGTCCACGCAGAGCGTGGGCGCCCCGGCGGTGCAGGCGCGGAAGCGCGCCGCCTGGTCCTGCGCGGAGCGGACGGCGGGGGTCGGCAGGCGGCCAGCGGCAGCCATGGGCTGAGGCTCGACGTGCGAGAGACGGCCTTCTCTGCGTGTGATTTTTTTCTTCGGAGCTGGATATCGAAAAAGTGCGTTCCTGCGCGTGGCAAAGAGGGGTACAGAGAGAGAGAGAGAGAGAGAGAGAGAGAGAGAACGACAGACAGACAGACAGACAGACAGACAGACAGACAGAGCGACAGACAGACAGACAGACAGACAGACAGACGGGCAGGCAGGCAGGCAGGCAGGCAGGCAGGCAGGCAGGCAGACAGAGAAGGGAATATAAAGAAACATCGGTATACACATTCGTGTGTGTGTGCACATGCGGAAGACATATCAAATCATAGTAGCAAATGGGAACACATGCACCTATAGACAGAGAGGCCGGAGGAAGGGGAAGAGAGGCGGGGAGAAAGGGACAGAAAAAGCGAGAGGGAGGGAGCACAACAAAAAATGGGACCCACGCAGTGAGATCTGGGCAGTGGGCAGTGGGAGGACAGACAGGCTCTGAGTCGGGTGTGACGTGGCGTGGCTCTGCAGGGGAGGAGGAGGCCAGGTCAGGGTCCCCCTTCGCACCGCGGGCAGAAGGAGAAGAGCATGGAAGGGGCCCTGGGACACACACAAATAAATACACACAAATAAAGGATTCCCATATTTTCCTATATTTTCTGGGTTTCTGTCTTCCCCCCCTGCCCATATGTTCCTTTATTTTCGGGGGAATCGACGATTAATTGTGTCTGTGTGTTTTTTCTCCTCCTGAAGCATGGCGGGGGGGTCGGCAGGGGTTTGGGGGAACGGGTCTTGCAGAGGCTACACCAGCTGCCGCCTCGACGGTGAGCTGCCAACTGGAGCCCACGCACAGCGGCGGAGAGGTCGACAAGGATGGAGGACACGCCTGCGTGAATCCATAAGTGGTGCACCTCTTCAGGACATCTAGACGCGGACGTCCCGATGCGTACAAGCCTCACCCGAACACTGCACTTGTTAGACAGGCTACGATGCGTCTCCTGCTGTCCAGCTGTGCGCTGCGGCGCGTCCCGAAGGGTGAGAGGCAAGACGGCCAGCGCAAGAGAAATATGGAATGGCCACACCTCCCACGTCAAATCATATCCCAGCCCCCTTCCCTGGTCAGGGTGCCCGTTCCCTGTGCTCCTTATTCCGCACGCTTCTCACCTCTCGCAGTATTCCACCTCTTGCACTGCCCCTTCTCGCCAGGAAGCGAAGAACAAGTATGGGTATGGAAAATGGATTCAATGTGTGTCCCTGTATCTGCTCCCGCCCGGGGCGCTGTCCTCAAGTCTACGCGCACGCCAATCAAGGTACCTGGGGCCAAGATGAATCTCAGGCAAGACTGGCTTTCACTGCGCTGATGGGCCTCCTCCAAATAGGAATTGTGCAGTGGCACGCCTGCCGTGGGAAAGCCCGCTCGTCTCCCGAGCGAGGCAGCTGACGACTTGGATCAAGTCCCCTTCCGCTCTCAGACGGCGCGCATCGGTGGCCTTGTCATACGTGGATCAGTATAATCGTCAACATCAGCATCAACATCATCATGACCATCAGCATCATCATCAGCATCCTCAGTAGCATCAGCATCATCGGCATCATCATCATCAGCATCATCGGTATTTTCATTCGCACCAACATCGTCAACATCAGCATCATCACCATCAGCAACATAATCAGCAGCATAATCAGCAGCATCATCATTGCCAGCAGCGTCATCATCACCCTCGTCATCACCACCATCGTCATAATCAGAGAAATCAGAATCAACAAAATCACCACCATCATCATCACATCACGTTGCTCCTCATCATCGTCGTCCTCCGCTGGTACCTGGTGTACCGCTCGGGATCAGCGACCTCCGCCGTGGACAGCTCTGGCGCGTGGCCACTGCTCTGCCCGACGTCGAGCCGCCTGCCGCCGGCGCAGAGCAGCGCCCCATCGCAAGCACGCACACGGAAGGCACTAGGCTTCCAGGGTCGGCGGCGGGCGAGGGGGGGAACGTGAGAAAGCCAAGGCCTCCTCTGGAGGCGGCGGGACTTCGCAGAAGCCCTCGCGCCTTCTGAGAAGGTGTTGTTGGTCTTCGGGGAAGACTCGGACAATTCCTCAGAAGGCCAGGGGACGTCTGCGCCTTCTGAGAATGCCTTCTCCTTCTCACTTCCCTCCCTCGCTCGCCGCCCACAGGGGACTCTGACCAGCCCTCTGGGCGCAGGTGGCTCAGGTCGCTTCCTCTTCCAACTCCCTTCTTCCACCTCGGGGAGGGGGTTTCCACTGCTCCTTGTGAATCACCGTGCTGGCCCTGTCCTCAGCTCCTCCGCCCAATCCTCTAAGCCTCAATCCTCACTCCTGAGGAGTCGTTCAAGGGGCCCAAACTACCAAATCTTCTCGGGCTTGTCACGGTTCCCAACGGTTTGTCGCATGCCTTGTTCGGGCCCAAGAGAGCTACAGGACGAGTTTAGCGAGCCCTAAGAGACCTCCCAGATGTTCCAAGAGTGCTCCGAATCTCTGAAAGATTGTCCAAGACGCCCGAAACGGCCCCAAGACGGTCCAAAAGACCTCCAAGACACCCCCAGAGGCTTCCAAGAGGCATCCCAAGAGCACACCAAGAGGCCCAAATCATTGATTTTCCTACGGCTTTCGGCGGACTGTGGCGTTCTCGCCTTTTCGGCTTCCCGACTCTCCAAGACGGCCCACGATGCCCTCAAGATCGCCCCAAGACGGCCCCAGAGGCCCCCAAGAGGACCCCATCCAAGGGGCGCCCACGACGGCCCAAAGACGGCCCCAAGAGGGGGCCAGGATGGAGAACCCGAACGGACATTTCGAGCCCCGAAGGGCCCCCAGGAGGCACCAAGATGCCCCCAAGAGGCCCCCAAGACGCCCAAAGAGGCACCCACGAGGCCCCACGAGGCCCCTAAGAGGCCCCCAAGAGGCCCCGACACTGCTCCCAAGAGGCCCCTGAGAGCGTTCCGAAGAGACCCGAAGAAGCATCCCTGAGAACTGTGACCCACAACACAGGCAAGATGGCGGGATGGGCCGAAGGCAACTAGATCAACGTCGTCGTCATCATCACCATCAGCATCAGCATCATCACCACCACCATCAGCATGATCAGCATCAGCATCATCATCATCATCATCATCATCATCATCATCATCATCATCATCATCATCATCATCATCATCATCATCGTCATCATCGTCATCATCATCATCGTCATCGTCATCATCATCATCAGCATCCCCATCCTCATCCTAATCCTCATCAACCTTAGCACGAACCACAACAACATCAACATCAGCATCAGCATCGTCACTGGCATGATCATCATCATCATCATCATCAGCATCATCATGATCATCATCCACAGCATCATCATCATCATCAACCTCATCACCATCCTCATTAGCATCACCATTACCATAATCATGCGCATCATCAGCATCATCACCATCAGCAGCATCATCACTATCAGCAGCAACAGCATCAGTATCAGCATCGTCATTAACTGCATCATCAGCATCACAAGCATCGTCAGCATCGCCATCATCAGCACTACCACCACCATCACCATCAGCACCATCATTATCAGCAGCAGCATTATCAGCAACATCAGCATCAGCATTATCATAGCCATCATCAGAAGCATCAGCATGCACCTCACCATCAGCATCACCATAACAATCAACACCATCGCTATCATCATAATAATCATCGACGTTGTAATCATCAGTCGCATCACCATCATCACCATCGTCATCCCCATCGTCGTCAGCATCGCCATCATCATCATCATCATCACCATCATCATCATCTTCATCATCATCTGCATCATTAATATTATCAGCATCACCAGTATCAGCATCAGCATCGTCATCATTATCACCATCATCATCATCATCATCAGCATCATCATCATCATCATCGGCAGCATACTCATCATCATCCGCAGCAGCATTATCATGATCATCACCATCATCATCATCACAATCATCATCCTCATCATCCTACTCATCATCAGAATCATCACCATCACCATCACCATCATCAGCATCATCATCACCATCACCATTACCATCATCATCATCATCAGCAGCAGCAGCAACAGCAATATCATCATCGCCATCATCGTCGTCGTCATCACGGCGTCTTAGAATTTCGCACCCCCTCCCCTCTCGGCTGGACGCCAACCAGGAACCACGAGGGACCCCCCGCCATCCCTGTCAAAGCGCACGCGGCGGCAAGATCTGGATCATGAGCGGGCACCCCACAACCACTTTGCATTATATTTGGCAAGCATGGGCGGGATCACAGTTGTCCGCTGTGCGCTCGCCACTATCTGCATCAAAAGCCATATCAAACTAACTGTGGGCACACACGCACACACTCACATACACATTCGCACATTCACACACACACACCTGCGGCGAGCGAGGGTGGGGGAGCGAGGAGGAGACGGCCTTTTCAGAAGGCGGCAGGACTTCTCAGAAGCCCCTCGAGCCTTCTGAGAAGTTTGTCTGTGTCTTTGGGGAAGGCCCAGAAAATCCCTTGGGAGGCCAGAGGATTTCCGGGACTTCCCGAGGGGCCGTCCTGTCCGGCTTCCCCCTCATTGGCTCGCCGCCGAACACGTCATCACGCATCATGCTGCTGACCACCCTGCCGCCACTCTGCCGTGGCTCTCGACAGGGACGGCTGGGGGGTGTCGACACGCTGCACCGATGTGCGCTGTCACGCGCACCCCGCGGCACCCGTCGCCGCCTGACACGCTCTGCGCTTGTCACGCACGTGGCGCGGCTGGACCACGTGGCGCACTTGGCACGCTCCTCCAGCGCACCAGGCGCGCTTGGCACGCTTGGACCCCTGGGTCACCTGGCGCACTTGGCGCGCGTTGCGCACCTGGCACACATGGCGCACCTCGTAAGAGCCGCGCACCTGGCGTCTGTCTTGGCTCCCGTCGGCTGTCTAGCCGAAGGCGATCTCTGCTTATGCTAGGGTCACGATGCGACATGATGAAGGTCGGGTCGGTGTGAGCGAGACAGCTTGTGACGTACCCGTAAGGAACCTGACCCCTGCCTCTTCCCAATCTCCTGAGTCTGGACGGGGAGTGGCCGAGGAGGTAGAGCGTCCAAGATGGCCCAAGATGGCTGCAAAATGGCCTCAGGCAGCCCAAGATGGCCTCCAAGATGGTGCGAGATAGCTCAAGATGGCTTCCAGCATGCTTCCCAAATGCCCCCAAAACTGCCACGAAACGGCCCCAGGTGGGCACAGAGCCTCCCGACGATACCCTCGAGAGTTCCAAATCCTTGTCAAATGCACACAATCGTTCGAAATGTCTGCGTTCTCGCCGTGGCGCTCCCCACGGGCTTCTGAGGCATCAAGGCGGCTCCAGGATCGCCCCAAAGGGAGCCCCCGAGGGGTGCCCAGGAGGGCCCCTTGGCGGCCACCAGAACGCTCAAGAGCGCCCTCGGAGCGCCACAAGAGGGCTCCAATAGCAGGAAAACGCATCAGCATCCTCCCTGGCGCGCGGAGCGCGCCAGGGGCGGCGCCGGAGGCGCCGCCAGGGGGCACAGCGCGGACGCAAGAGATCCGCGCGGAGCGCTGTAAAGTTTATGTTTATTCCATTGTTGCATCTTCCATCCAAGAAGCAAGCTTTTCATCCTCTGATAGTGGGACTGGAATTAACGACCCCTCCGGTTTTCGCCCGATGGCCTCCAAGTGCACCAGGAGGGGCTCCGCAGCTCCCTACACCCAAGAGGGCCCCAAGAGAACCCCAAGAGCGCCCCAAGATGGCTCCCGTAGGCCTCCGAGAGACTCCCCAAAGCGACACATGTGCGAAGGCCTGTCCGGCTGCCTTCTGTCGTCTTCGACGTTTCAGTAGTCCTCCCCCGTTCTCCTAGTCTTCCTCTTCGTATCCTCCTGGTCTACCTCTTCGTCTCCCTCCTCCTCCTCCTCCTCCTCCTCCTCCTCGTCTGGCCCTGGGAACGAATCAGAGCAATGAAGAGCAGTACTGGTAAGGGAGGATCCTCGCGGGCACAACTGTTGAGATGCCCCCTCGCGGGAGTTACTGCTGGTATGCCCCCCTTGGCGTTAATGGCGGCATGCCCACTCGTGGGGGGGAAGCCATGGAAACAACAAGTCCGGTCCTGCCACGTCACCCTGAAACCCAAAGAAAGACTTTCCACCTCAACCTCCCGGAGAAATCCGTTCTGGTTGACTCGCGGCGATTCCCGATGACACGTCTGCTGTTGACTGCCGAGTGTCTCGCACGAAGGCATTCCCAGATGACTCAACAGTACCTCGAACACGTCTTTACGGTTGACCCTTGGCTGCACCATGGGAGGCATTCGCGTCGACCTTACGAGAGGCCCTCCAGCGCCTACACGAAGAAGGCATATGGAAGAGACGTGGCGGCCGTCCCACCCTGGTCCCTTTAGTGTCTCTGCGCGAGCCCACACTGTCCTGGTCCAGGCTGCTCTCCCGAGATGCGTTTCCGGATGGGCTGGTGTGGGGGTTCGTGACGCGCCCGGGAAGCTCGAGGTCGCCAAGGACGAATCCCGCAAGGAGCTCTGTGGGGGTGCCGGCGGGGGGGGGGACCCTGGCCTCGTAACTTGTTGCCGTCCCCATGGAACCGCAGCACTGCAAGCAGCAACAGCGCGGCAACGACGCGAGCGGAAACGGGAGATGAGCGAGGAGGAGGAGAGAGCGTAGAGGGGGTAGTAGAAGAGACAGTAGGAGCTCGACCACAAGAAACCTTCCACAGGAAACCCAACCCTGAGACCCCAGAACGTCCATTGATGTTTGGTGTGGGAACGTCACGCCCAAGAGAACCAGGGCACCCTGAAAGCAAGAAGGGTATGTCTTGGCATTGGTCTCCACTGTGAACGTACACCAACTGTGCCGCTTCCGCATCTTACATCCCCTATACAACATATGGCAGGTTGGTGCCGTGCCGACTCTGGCGTGGGTTCTGACACAGCGTGAATCATCCATCCTGGAACGATCGCGGCTTTCGAATAGCGTGGATCCTTCGATATTGGCCTACTCTGGGGGAGCCATAAGGTACCGATACCGCTACTCCCCGGACCTCTCCGGGGTGCGTTCTGACCAGGATTTCGAGAGTACCCAGCTGTGGCATCGAAGGCCGCCCAGGAGGCTCGCAAAAGGGAAAACGAAGAAAGGGTAGCGGTACAAGTATTCTCCTCCGATTCTCCGCGTCGCCGACGGCGTTCAACCCTGGACGCCCACGCTGGAGCCGCCGCAACGTCGACACAAGACGAATCTGCAGTAAAAACGCAACCGCCAGCGGACGGCGGCAAGCAAAGATCCGGCTGCGCTGCGCTGCGGCCGCCCGCCTGGCGTCCGCCCTCTCGCGAGCCAGCGCCCTGCGCTCTTGCCTGCAGAGGCGGCTTGAACACTCCTCCGTACTTTTTCCGCAACTACAGGCCTCCCAAGTGGGATCCGGGTAGATGGGGTCGGAGGACAGCGCCGCATCGCCGATGCATTGGCGATACATCGCCGATGCGTCGGCGATGCATCGGCGACGTCGGCGGTGCCATCCGCGCCGTCTGCGTGGAGAAAACGAAGCTCCACATCGAGCCGCATCGCCGATGCATCGACGATGCGGTGTGATCCTCCGACCCCATCTACTCGGACCCCATCTGGGAAGCCTTGAACAACCTTCAGGCTAAGTGGTCATTGTCTATTCGTCCCGCCTTCTGTCACCTCCTGGCCGAATCGCTTGTAGCAAGATTGCCTCCCTCCCAGGGCACCGTGCCTGAGTGTGCAAGACCGTCTTCTACGCTCGCGTGTCCCACTCGTCACCCGCCTGTCCGAAGCTCGCCCACGAACCCGCCCACATTTTCCGGGGAGGGGCGCACTGAAAGTGTTTGGACGACTCCAGGGACTGGTGGCGTGGCAATGTCTCGACGGGGGCTCGGCCCTCTTGAGGGTGAGGGGCCAAGGAGGGGGGAAAGGCTTCTTAGGAGGAGGCTGCTTCTCAAAGGCGCTGGCCTTACACATGCATTTTTAGGGCCCGCGCCTCCTGCGGAGCAAGGGTGCTTCTAAGAAGCATTCCCCCTCCCCCTGCCCCCCCTCTGCGCGTGGCCGAATTGGGGAAACCAAGAGGTACCGATACCGCTACTCCCCGATCCTCTCCAAGGGTGCGTTCTGACCAGGATTTCCAGGCAAATCCAGCGGTGGCGACGAGGGCCGCCTAGGAGGCCGAAAAATAGGAAACGAGGGAAGGGTAGAGGCATGCCCAGACCCCCGACGTCGTGATTTTTTCACAACGTCGACCCCCAGAGGTCTGGACCCCTTCCCCGGGACCAGTTTCTCGTCCTGAGTAGTTTTTTGACAATCCCGAGGCCCAGTAAGGGCCCCTGGAGGCCGAACATAGCGAAAAACCTCCCGCCGTGACTTCCTCACACCGCGAGGAGGTCTGGGTGGGTACCTTCTCTTCCTCTGGCGCATGAGCCTGAGAGCGGCTCGTGCGAGCGTACCACTTCCGCACCACTCGTGCGTGCGTGCGCGCGTGGCGCGCGTGCGCGCGTGCGCGCGTGCGCGCGTGCTTGCTTCTCCGACCAGCGAAAACTGGGGGAGCTGTGGTCCATACCCCCCGGGGGAACCCATCGCATCGACGATCTCTCGAGAGGGGTGTCGAAATCGATGGGTCCCCCAGGGGGTTAAGGACCACAGCTCCCCCAGCTGTGGCTGGCCTGCTTCTCTTTCTCTTCCTCCTCCCACCCCCGGCCCAGAACGGAGCAGGTCCTGCGAGCGTACCACTTCGGGTTCGCGGGGATCGGTGCCGGCAAGTCCCCTGGCCGCAGGCAGCCCGGGTAGGGCTGCGAGGCCGCGGCGGCAGCTGTGGCCCGGGGCCACGCCTGGATCGGGGATCTTTGACGAATAATAACAAATACCCGCAAAAAAACGCCAAAATGATCTACAAATACTCCCAAAATAGTCCCCCGACTAATTGTGGACTATTTTTGGAGAATCCCCCTGTAGAGGGACAGGCCCGACTTAACACTTGGGGATCGGGGATCTTCTGGCCGGGGTCAATCCAGACCCGGGTCAGCAAGAAACCAAAAAACTGCGGTGCAGGAAGGAGAAGCTGCAACGCAAATCTTCGCAAACCCGGGTCAGCCAATATGCGCGGCCACCTCGCGGCTCGCTAACCCGGGTCAACCAGAGGGGGCCTTCGCAGGATCCTGCAGGATCCGGTGCCCTGGCTGACCCCCGTTTGCACTGACCCCCGTCTCTTAGGCCCCGAGTGGAAAACGGCCGGTCTGAACCGGCCTAGAACTCATCCCCATCTTCGCGGCGAGCAAGGGGGGGAAATCAGAAGGAGAAGGCCCTCTTACAAGGCAGCGGGCCTGCTCAGAAGCCCTCGCGCCTTCTGAGAGGTGCCCTGTGTCTTCGAAGAAGGGAGAGGGGAATTGGAGGAGGTGCGCTCTCGACCCGCGGATCAAAAAGAAAGTCTTCGAAGAAGGCTTAGAACACTTCTCAGAAGGCTGGGGGACTTCCGAGCCTTCTGAGAAGGCCGTCTCCGTCTCACTTCCCCCGAAGGCTCTCCGCCGAAACCAGCCTCGAGCTATAATCCCTATCCCTACGCCCGGGAAGCCCAAGGCGATGACAGTATTTAGGGTTGTGCCCTCAGAAGCTGCGGGGATCCTTGAGATCGGCACCGAAGTGAGGTGGGGCCAAGCACCGGGACGAGGATGCGTTTCAGACCGGTGAGATCTGGCGGCTGCAGTTGCAGCAGCCACTGTGCCCTCCCCTCCCGAGCCCACACGTCCGTCTGACGCCCCCTTCTTTGAGCAGGGGCCGACCGTCCCGACATTCCTATAGTCCTACCACGGACTGTGCTTCGAGCCACAAAATGTTCTAATAAGGCAAAAACAATGTTCTAGAGCATAAGCCCGACGTGTTCAAGCAAGACAGACCCGGCCATACATGTTCTGAGAACATTGCGTGGGAACCACAAGAGGTCCTGAGAACATGGTTTGGTAGGACTATAGGCGAGCCAGGACGCTTCGCCATTGCTTGACTTCTCGTCCACCCCTAGGAGAACAAAAAGTGACATAAACATAAAATCTCGGAGGTCCGCGCGGATTTCTCGGATCGGCGCTGGACCCCCCCCTTCCCTGGCGCGCGGAGCGCGCCAGGGGCGGCGCCGGAGGCGCCGCTTGGGGGCCCCGGCGCCAATCCGAGAAATCCGCGCGGACCTCCGAGTTTTTATGTTTATGCCACTTCTTGCTCCCCTAACCCCGATCCTTCCGCCGGGACTCGGGGCAGGAACGAGGGCGAGCCCCAGTGGACGGGAGGCCGCACGGCTGCACGCAGCTCGACGCTCTCGGCTGCCCGGCGCGGGGCCCGCGGGTCGACACCCACCGGACCAGCACACTCGGCGCGTTCGGAGGCGACTCACGGGAGCCTCCCACACCGTCCTGTCGGCTCCCGCGAATCGACGCTCATCGACGCCAGTCGACGCTGATCGACGCCAAATCGAAGCTCCATCGGCGCTAGCCGACGCTAGATCGGGGCGCTGTCTCATCGGCTCCCAGACTCCCAGACGCTCATCGACGCTGGTCGATGCTAAAGAGGCAAGGTAGGCAAGGCAAGGCGAGGCAGGCAAGGCGAGGCGAGGCGAGGCGAAGCAAGGTAGGCAAGGCGAGGCGAGGCGAGGCGAAGCAAGGCAGGCAAGGCGAGGCGAGGCGAGGCAAGGAAGGCAAGGCGCGGTAGGCAAAGCGAAGCGCGGCGAGGCACGCCGTGCATGGCCGCATGGGGGCCTCGACCCGCAAGGGGGCAACCGGGCGCGCGGGCGTGCTGCGGCAGAGGGGGGGGGAAGCGCGGAGTGTGGCAGGGCGTGGGGGGGGGAACGAAAGGAGGGGATAGCACAGGGTAAGGTAGAGAATCGGCTCACATAGCTGATTTTCCCGGCGCCTCCTGGCGCAGGGAGGCGCCCGTGTATCGAGGAATGGGCCCGGCGGCGGGGCCGAAACCAGCTGCATGCAGCAGATTTCGTAACCCCCCCATTTCCCTTTCCCCCCTTTCGGTCGGCCCGAGCGTGGGGGTTGGAGGGCCGGGCACTCGCCTGCTGCGCGGCAGCTGTAACTCGGATGATGAACTAGAGGGAAAACTAGGATGGTGAACTTTTGGCGCTCCGCGCGGATTTCTTAATCTGCGCTGGACCACCTCCCACGCGCGCGGAGCGCGCCAGGGGCGGCGCCAGAGGCGCCGCCGGCGGGGGGGGGCCAGGCGCCTTTCCAAGAAAACCGCGCGGAGTGTCGAACAATTATGCTTATAGCGCTGTTTCTTCTTCGATGAACGGCTTCAAACTCCACTTGACTCGACCACCATCAGGCCTGATCGGGGGGGGGGGCTCCGAGCCTCACGACCCGCACCCGGTCCCCTCCCCACAGTCTCATGGCCCGAGGGGGCCCTCCCAGAGGAGACCGAGGGGGGATAGCAACAGCACTCGCCCAACGCGGAGCCATTCGTAGCATGGAGTGGGTCTACCACTCGCAGGAAAGCGCTGGGCGGACTCAATCAGCATCGAGCTGGGAAATCGGATCTAATTGAAACATGCGTCGGATCGGGAAGCATAGGCACGTAGTCGGAATCGTATCGGATCGGCTGCGCCACGATGCACAACAACGCCAGGCAAACATCGAGCCGAAGAAATTTCGTCTCAATATCGGAATCGAATCGGATCGGGCTGGCAAGAATTGATATCGAATCGGCTCAATCGGATCATAATGGAGCCTGCTGGGTAACCCTGTGCCCCTGATAACAACCCGCTGGGGATGATACAAATTCGAGGTTCAATGGGGATAGTGAACGTTTTCCGGGAGGTGTCAGCAAAATGATAAAGATACTGACGATGCTGATGAACAAGGTGTTCCTAAACATTCATGAGAACAGTGAACAATCCATAGGAGTCCTTCGGAAATCCGCCGGCCCCCTTGTGGGGCCACCAGGCTGCGAGGCGCGTGATTCGCAGTTTCCTGTACCAGTTGTAGTTTGTAGTTTCCAGTGTTACAGTTCTGCTTCTTGCTGGTTACTGTAACTAGTTGACTTCTTGCTGGTTACTGTAACTAGTTGATTGACCGCGCGAGGGGGGGGGAGGCCCAAACGGGATTTTTAGCGTCCCCTGGGCTCGTTGTCTGAATTGCTGGGGGGGCTCGAGATCGACACCCCTCACGCAGATCCGCGGGGTCAGGGTCCAAAAACACAGGGGATTTGCCACATTTCTGAAATTCGGTGCCACCCCTCACGCAGATCCGCGGGGTCAGGGTCCAAAAACACATGGGATTTGCCACATTTCTGAAATTCGGTGCCACCCCTCACGCAGATCCGCGGGGTCAGGGTCCAAAAACACAAGGGATTCGCCACATTTCTGAAATTCGGTGCCACCCCTCACGCAGATCCATCGCAAGGCGTGGTAACCCAAACTGCGAGTACTCCCTCGGCCCTTTAATCCCAAGATGTGATAACCAAGCTCGTAAACCATACACGTCTTACCAATCGCCCTGTGTGGTAACCCCTCTTGTGATCAGTTGGTTTTGCCGATTGCGAATCGGCCTCGCATGAAGTTCCGATACTGCTGCACGACAGCGCCAAAGCCTCATGACTTAGCTCTTCCATGGCCATTCTCCGAGAGAGGGGGCCGGCGGCAGGGGGCGAAGCCCTTACGGATAAATAGGATTTCTATGGAAATCCATCGAACTCCTTAGGATCTCGATAAGATCCCTTAGGACATCCATAGGAAATCCATAAGAAGAGAGCAACTTCCATTCGCAGCTTTCCCACGCGAAAATAAAAAATCGGCCTTGCCGCCTCTCTTCCCTGACCAAGACTGCGCTGGCCCATGAGCAGAAACTCTCAGTACGAAAGGGGGGGATTTCTTATCCGGGGGTTGGGGTTACCCGAAGGAGCGCTGCCGTGCCGCAGCCGACATCCGCAAGCGGGGCCTGGTGCCCTCTACTTGGTCGAGCTGAGCGGAGATCGGGAGTGCTCGGCACGCACCCCAGCAGGAGGGTCCCCTGTGATTGAGCAGGGACCGGCCGTCCCGGCATTCCCATAGTCCTACCACGACATGTTCTTAGAACCCAAAAGTGTTCGGACAATAGCAATGTTCTTAGAACATGCGCCCGATGTGTTGAAACAAGACAATCTCAACCAGAAGACATGTTCTAAGAACATTTCTTGAAAACCACAAAAGGTTCTTAGAACCTTGTTTGGTAGGGCTATAGGCTAGCCAGGACGCTTCGCCACTGCTTGATGTGAGCGCGCGCGCGGGAGGCAAGCCCACTCTTTGGACGCTCATCGAGCCCGAGCAGATGGGCTCACAGAATCGCGCCGAATCGCCAGTGCATCGGCGGAGCGTCGGCGACGGAGGCGGTGCGTCGGCGTCGGGGTGGAGAACACCAGACTCCACACCGAGCCACACCGCCGGCGATCCCGGCGGTGCCCACGTCGGGGGGAGACCGGCTCGGGGAGGGCCTGTCGAGCTGGACGCGCCGCCGATCGATCGGCGCTCTGCCCCGGCGGCGACTCCGCAGGCTTTCGGGCTCCTGGGCGGGGTGGGCCTTCAGGCCCCCTGTCGGCCTGTCGGCCTGTCGGCCCCCTGTCGGCCTGTCGGCCTGTCGGCGCCCTGGCGCCCTGTCGCCCTGTCGGCCTGTCGGCGGTATCCATGGGCGGCTGGGGGTCGAAGTGTCTCTCCCGAGCCCAGGCTCGCCCGACGCTATTCTCAACTCGCCATCGCTCGGGCGCCCATCCCCCGCGCATCTCCCGACTTCGCGCACGGGTCCTTCTTGAGCTCGCTGGTCCAGGATGCTTCTCGATGGCCCTCGCCGAGAAGAACTGCACACGTCCGAGCGATGCCACGGCAGCGCCGGGCCCCCAGGCCCTAGGGACCAGCCTCTCATCCCGAGTCGTTCTTCAGTGGCCCCGCGAGGGCCCCGGAGCCCGAACGTGGCGACAAACCTCCCGCCGTGAACTCCTTCGACAGAGCGCGAGGGCTGCCTGCAGCGACCGCCAGCCCGCGCACG